ATATGAGGAATATGGGGATTACAATTCAAGAGGAGATTTGGATGGGGACACAAAGCCTAATCATATCAGTTGTTCAGAATTATGCAGCTTAATTCCTACATATTTGTGAATTTTCCAGTTTGTATCCTGTTATCAATTTCTAGTTTCATACCATTGTGATCAGAAAAGATGATAGGATTTCAGTTTTCTTAAATTTGTTCACACTTGTTTTGTGGCCTAACATATGATCTATCCTGGAGAATGTCCCATGGGTGCTTAAGAATAATGTATATTTCATTGCAATTGAATAAAATGTTCTGTATATGTCTGTTAGGTTTATGTGGTCTAAAGTGCAGTTCAAGTTCAATATTTTCTTATTAATTTCTGTATAGATGATCTGTTCATTGTTAAAAGTTGGAGTATTGAGGTCCTCTACTACTATTGTATTATTGACTATCACCCCTTTCACATATATTAATATGTGCTTTATGTATTTAGGTACTCTGATGTTGAGTACATATGTATTTATGATTGCTATATTCTCTTGATAAATTGACCCTTTTATCATTATATAATGACCTGCTTTGTCTCTTTTTACAGTTTGACTTGAAGTCTATTTTGTCTGATATAAGTATGGCTACCATTCCTTTCTTTTCATTTCCATTTGCTTGTAATGTTTTCTTTTCCCATGTCTCCACTTTCAGTCTGTGTCCTGAAAGGTGAGGAGAGCTTCCTAATAAGCATCATATAATTGAGTCTTATTTATTTATGCATTCAGCTACTGTCTTTTTGTTGGAGAATATAATCCATTTATATTCAAAATCATCATTGATAAGTAATGACATACTACTGCTATTTTGTAATTTGTCTTCTGGTTGTTTTATTTTGCCTTTTTCTGTGTTGCTTCCTTTGTGGTTTGATGGTTTTCTATAGTGGAATGCTTTTAATCTTTTCTATTTATTTTTTCTGTATCTGCTATAGAGTATTGCTTTGTGGTTATCATGAGGCTAACATAGACATTGTATACCTATACCAGGCTATTTCAAGCTGATAACAAATTAATTTTTATCTCACACCACAATTCTACATTTTTACTCCCCTTCACCATTTTACATTTTTGATGTCAAAAATTATATTATTTTGTAAACTGTCTTCCTTGACAATTTATTTTAGCTATAGCTGTTTTTATAGATTTGTCCTTTAACCATCATACTAGAGATGAAATTGCTTTACACACTATTACAGTCCTAGGGTATTCAGAATATGACTCTGTATTACTTATATCATGAGTTTTATGCTTTCTTATGTTTTATGTTATTACTTAGCAGCATTTTGATTCAGCTTAAAGAATTTTTTTTTTAGAAATTCCTGTAAGAGGCAGGCTTAGCGGTGATGTACTCCATTAGCTTTTGTTTGTCTGGGAAAGCTTTTATCTCTTCCTCATTTATAAAGGACAGCTTTTTTGGGTAAATATTCTTGGTAATTTTTTCCCTTCAGCACTTTATATCATTCTGCTCTCTAATAGTCTGTCAGGTTTCTGCTGAGAAATCTGCTGATAGCTTTATTTGAACTACCTTGCATATAGTATGTTTCTTATCTCTTCCTGTTTTCACAATTATTTCTTTTTCTTTGATTTTTGATAGTTTGATTATTATGTGTCATGGTGAACTCCTCTTTAAGTTGAATTTGATTGGAGATCTCTGGACTTCCCATACCTCAATATTTGTGCCTTTCCCCAGATATAGGAAATCTTCAGCCATTATTTCTTTAAATAGTTTTCTGGCTTCTATTCTCTCCTGTTTCTGGAAATCCTATTCTATCAACTTTTGATCTCTTGATGATGCCTTATAATTTCTGTAGGCTTTCTTCCTTCTTAATTTTTTTCTTTTTAATCTTCTGCCTAGATGATTTACAATGTTCTATCTTTGAGTTCATTGATTCTTATGCTTTATGAGCCTACTGTTGAAGTTTTTTTGTTGCATTTTTTAGTTCAGTCATTGTATTAAGCTCAAAAATTTCTATTTGTTTTTTTTAATTGCTTCTATTTCATTGTCAAACTTCTCATTGATTTCACATGTTTTCTATTTGTTTAATTTTCTATATGTATGGTTTTTGTTCACCTCACTTCTTTAAGAAGATTATTCTGAAGTCTTTACCAGTCATTCCATAGATCTTCATTTCTGCAGGGTCTATTTTGGGGGCTTTATTATTTCCTTTTGGAAGTGTCATGATTCCCTTATTTTTGTGATCTTTGTGTCCTTGTGTTGATGTCTGTACATTTGAGGAGATACTCACCTCTTTCACTTTTACAGATGTTATTAAGCAGAAATAGACCTTCACTGTTTCGTGTAGCCTGTGATTCTGGATGGGCCAGCTGATAAGAACCCTGGGCAGGCAGAGCTTGCTTTTGGGTTCTCTAGATGGCTGGGCCACCGTCTTTGCTCTGAGTTTAGGTGGGGCTGCTGGCTGGATTCTGCAGTCGGGCAGAGTTGCTGACTGGACACCACAATTGTCTCTGATTGGGATGGGTCATAGGGTGTATTTTCTGGCCAGGTGGTACTGCTGTTTGCATTCTGCAGTAAAATAGGGTTGCAGGCTAGTCCCTAAGGCTAGGTGGAATCACTGCTTAGGATAGATGGCAGCAGTCACTATGCTTAGTAGAAATACACAGTTGAGGTTTGCCTCCCAGCCTGGGTAGGGAATTGGAGTGGGCTTTGAGGTTGGACTGAACCACTGTTTGAACTCCCAGGTAGGGAAGGTCTAGCCCCTGAACTTTGCCAAAATGCACCATGCTAGATCTCTTTCCTCTTGGAAGGGCCTTGGGGTGGTCTCTGAGGCTAAGTCAAGTGCTCTTTACACTCCCATGGGGGCAGATCTATCTTCTGCCCTTTACCAAAATGGGCTGTGGAGGGTATCTTTCTCTCTGGGTGGGGCCTTTGGATGGGGTAAAAGACTGGGCATGAGGCTGGCAATCTAGGGATACAAGCCAAGTAGAACTTCCCACCATTTCTGGGAACAACCAGCTTAGCTTTGCCAGTGTGCTAGGTTATGGCTGGTACCTCTGATGTGGTGCCATTGCTGGCAGGTACACAGAGCTACAACGAAGATTTCTGTGCTGGTCTCTGTGAGCTCTTTTCCTTGCTTTGTTTCTACCTGACCCTAGGTGATCTAGTCATGACATTACCCTCATTTTCCCCCATGAAGTAAGACTCGGGTGGGCTTCCCATGAAGCATCTCAGAATACTTTGGCAACTGGATATTTGCCTCCAGTTCTCTTTTTCTACTGTAGAAACTGTGGGCCTAGGATAATCCTCTCTGTTTGGTGCTGTGCCAAGTTGGGAAGGTGGGTGACAGAGCCAAAGTGAAACTATTTCTCCTACCCTTCTGATGCCATTTTTCACTGGATTCTGTGATCTATGAAGGTGTCTCAGGCTTATTCCCAAGTTTTGAGGTTTTCACAATGGTGTTGTTGTCTGTGGATAGTTGCTAGTTGAACTTTCTGTAGTGAGTAGTGAGGACTGGGATCTCCTATTCTGCTATCTTGCTTATGCCACTCCCTGAACACACATTTATTGTAGCTCCTGATTCTTTGGTTTTGCTTAGTAGTTTTGCTGAATTAATTTTGGGTTTTGTAGATCTCACTCTATGTCTACTGATAGCATCCAAGTCAGCTACAAACTTAACTGATCTTTAGTATGCTCTCTTAAATGTCTGGTGCCTTGACTAGGACAAATAAATATTACATTTAGATAAAATTCTGAAATGAAAATGTAATGAAAACTTGAGACCAAAGATTAAAAGGAAAGATTTAGAAAAGAGCTTATTCATTTATTTTTAAAAATAAGTGATAATGTGTATAAAATCATTATACTAATAAGATTCTATGAATATGTTTAAATGAGTGACGTTATAGCTTTATTTCTGAAGTCAAGATTTATAATATGCCTAACTTATATTTTTTGCAACTATTTCAACTTCTCATGAACAATTTCAGATATCAAGATCAGGGTCCAGGTTTATTTTTTGCAGATGATTGGCCATTTGAATCAGTACTATGTATCAAATAAACCATCCTTTTCCTACTGAATTGAGATATCACATTTGTCACTTAAATACTCAGATTAAGTTTGAGGTTATCTATTCTCTTTAACCTGTTTTTAACTGTTTTTAAGTGTACAATTTAGTAGCATTAAGTACATTTATATTTTTGTGGAACCATCACCACCATTTATCTCCAGAACTTTCTCATCTTCCCAAACGGAAACTCTGTTCTCATTAAACACTAACTCCCTATTTCCTGTCCTTCCAGCCCCTGGCAGCCACTGTTCTACTTTCTATCTTTATGAATTTGACTTTCTATCTTTACAAATTCTGTCTTTATGAATTTGCATATAATTCATATGCATGATATCATTTTGTGACTGACTTATTTCACTTAGCATGATATTCATAAGGTTCATCCATGAACCTTACATTAGCATAATGTTATATTAGCATAACATTGTATTAGCATGTATCAGAATTTCCTTCCTTTATAGGCTGAATAATATTCCATTTTATCCATTCATCCATCAGTGAACACTTGAGTTACTTTCACCTTTTGGCTGTTGTGGATAATGCTGCTCTGAACATGGATATCCAAATACCTATTTGAGTCCCTGCTTTCAATTCTTTTGGATATATATACCCAATAACTGAAATGTTTTGCCTATTGCTATGCCAATATCATACTTATTTCTAAGTATTTTATGATTTTTGTTTCCAATTGAAAGCAATCATTTTATTATTTATACTTCTAGATGCTTATTGCTATTACAAAAGGCTATTGATTTTGTATATTTTGTTGCACTTAATCACCTTATTATAATGATTCCTATATTTACAGGATTTTATTATATTATAATTTTATTATGGTTTCTTGGGTTTGCTTTCTTGTATTCCCTAGTATTTTGTTTAAACTTTATACCTGCACACACTTGGTGTTAGAGTTATGCTTACCTTATAAATAATTAAGGGGATTTTCCACTGTGGCAGTCATGGAGGGTCACTGTTCTGGTCACCTCTTTAAAAAGAACTTACCTGGGAGACGTGGTGCCACTGCGGGCTCGCTCTGCGGTGCGCTAGGCTTGGTGGGAAGACCTGTTCTCGAGTCCGCGCTTTTCGTCACCGCCATGTCGGGAGGTGGTGTGATTCGTGGGCCCGCAGGGAACAACGATTGCCGCATCTACGTGGGTAACTTACCTCCAGACATCCGAACCAAGGACATTGAGGACGTGTTCTACAAATACGGCGCTATCCGCGACATCCACCTCAAGAATCGCCGCGGGGGACCGCCCTTCGCCTTCGTTGAGTTTTAGGACCCGTGAGACGCGGAAGACGCGGTGTTTGGTCGCGACGTGGGTACCGTCTGCGGGTGGAGTTTCCTCCAAGCGGCCGTGGAACAAGCCGAGGCGGCAGCGGGGGTGGAGGTGGCGGAGCTCGCCGAGGTCGCTATGGCCCCTCATCCAGGCGGTCTGAAAACAGAGTGGTTGTCTCTGGACTGCCTCCAAGTGGAAGTTGGCAGGATTTAAAGGATCACATGCGTGAAGCAGGTGATGTATGTTATGCTGATGTTTACCGAGATGGCACTGGTGTCGTGGAGTTTGTACAGAAAGAAGATATGACCTATGCAGTTCGAAAACTGGATAACACTGAGTTTAGATCTCATGAGGGAGAAACTGCCTACATCCGGGTTAAAGTTGATGGGCCCAGAAGTCCAAGTTATGGAAGATCTCTATCTCGAAGCCGTAGTCGTAGCAGAAGCCGTGGCAGAAGCAACAGCAGGAGTCGCAGTTACTCCCCAAGGAGAAGCAGAGGATCACCACGCTATTCTCCCCATCATAGCAGATCTCGCTCTCGTACATAAGATGATTGGTGACACTTTTTGTAGAACCCATGTTGTATACAGTTTTCCTTTATTCAGTACAATCTTTCATTTTTTAATTCAAACTGTTTTGTTCAGAATGGGCTAAAGTGTTGAATTGCATTCTTGTAATATCCCCTTGCTCCTAACATCTACATTCCCCTCGTGTCTTCGATAAATTGTATTTTAAGTGATGTCATAGACAGGGTTGTTTAAATTTAGTTAACTCCATACTCTTCAGACTGTGATATTGTGTAAATGTCTATTCTGCCCTGGTTTGTGTGAACTGGGATGTTGGGGGTGTTTGTGGTTGTCTTACCTGGGGAAGTTCTTATGTTTATCTTGCTTTTCATGTGTCTTTCTGTAGACATATCTGAAGAGATGGATTAAGAATGCTTTGGATTAAGGATTGTGGAGCACATTTCAATCATTTTAGGATTGTCAAAAGGAGGATTGAGGAGGATCAGATCAATAATGGAGGCAATGGTATGACTCCAAGTGCTGTTGTCACAGATGAAATTGGCAGTATTGACCTTATACTAAAGGCAGGGATTAAAAATGATTATATACATTTTCCTTAAAACACTTGCAAACATTTTATTCAGTTATCTTTAGCTACAGTTGCTTTGCTCTTTAAACCTTGGCAATTGTGGCAAAATTATATTGCCCATTTTGTAGCAACTTATTTTGCTCCCTTCCCCCCATTTTTGTTTTAATAGGGACTAATGTGGGAAGAACTGGCTAATTTGTCAGTGCTTAGTTACAACTATTAATGTGTGACCTGCTGTTGGTGTACATGTGGGTACAGGGTGTCTTTAAATCCAACAAGATAGAGTATAATATCAATACTGCTAAATCTGCATGTCCTCTGTGTGACTGATAGAGCGTTGCTATTTAATTTTTTTAAGACAAAATGAAAGCAAAATATAGAGTTCCAATGTATTGGTGTAGATAATCTAGTTGGGAATACTTTTAAGTCTCACCTTCCCCTTTAAACTAATATTCATAATTGATTCATTTGTTTAAAAGACTTTAATTTACAAATTAAATTGCAAATGGGAGCATTAGATATAGTTTTAGACTTAGGTGGGTAGCAATGCCAGTAAACTTAAATTACGTAACTTCTTGCAACCACGAAACCTGTAATACGCTGTACAGTAACAAGTGTTGGCATTATCAGTTGAACTGTAAATACAAAATGCTTCTTCCAATTAGTCTCTATGATGATTAAGATTCTAAAATTTATCTGAACACCATTCAGAAACTTGTTTTGGGGAATTTGATAGTTATTGATGTGCATCTGTTAAACTGATGACAGACATAACTCATCATTCCCCAGAAACCTTTTTTGATTACAATATCTAACATTTTGCCTCCTCTTTTTTGATTTTGCTGGTTATAAAGATTTGGATTGGAGAGGGCTCACTGGATCCCAATCCTTGGAGCTGGATCATTGGATTCAAATCATAATGTGGATAGGATAGGGAGGATGAATTACCAGGATTCATGGAGCGGGATCAGATTACCAGGAACATAGGAGTGGATTCCTGCCCCAACCAAACCGCATTCGTGTGGATTTTTTTATTCAACTTAATTGGCTATTCCAAAGATTTTTTTTTTCCTATTTTTGACAATTGGAGCCCTTAAGATACACGATGGAATTGTGTTTTGCGTTTTTTGGTAAAAGGAGCAAAGCGAGGACCTGGAGATAAACACTGGAGCAATCTCCTTGGAAGGATTCAGCACGAGTAGATGGTAAACATTTAAAGGGGAAAGGGAGGGTTTGTTTAAAATAGTAAATCAGTAAGTCACTTCTAAATTTAAAGAAAACAAAATTGGAGTTGAAGAATAAGTAGGTTTCCAATTGGCTATTGCCATTTTTCTTTGAAAAAATAAACATTTTTTAAAAAACTAAAGAAAAATAAATAAAAAATAAAATAAAATAAAAAATAAAAAGAACTTACCATTTGATTGCAAGGAGTGCAGTTAGCTGATAGCCTCCAGCTGTAAGTGCCTCCAGAATCTAAGCTGTTGAGCTGAGCCCATGCTTTTCTTGGGAAGTCATAGCCAATGACTGAGCATGGTGCAGACACAAGGTCCTGGCCATTTCTGCCCAATACCAGACTTTGCTTATGAGCAGCATTTGCTGTGGAGGTGCCATTGGTATAACTGAAACTGTGTCAAATCTGCATGATAATCTGAGGCTCTCTTTGCCCAATCCTGCTTCCTCCTCCTATTATTCTTTTTAGGTGTTGCTTAGTCTGTTTCCTGTTTATAACAGAATACCTGAAGGTGGATAGTTTAAAGAGGAACAAAATAATTTGTTTCTTACATTATGGAGGCCAAGAAGTCCGAGGCTGAGGGGCTGCGTCGGGTACGAACCTGCTTACTGTTGGGGACTCTCTGTGGAGTCCCAAAGCAGCAAACGGCATCACATGGTTAGGGGCTGAGTGTGCTAACTCAGGTCTCTCTTCTCCTTCTACTTATAAAGCCACCAGTCCTATTCTCATGACAAGCCATTGATCCATTAATCCATACATGAATTAATCTATTCATGAAGGCAGAGTCCTCATGACCCAGTCACCTCTTAAAGGCCCCCCTTCCCAATACTGCCACATTGGGGATTAAATTTCAACCTGAATTTTGGAGGGAACAAATACTCAAACCATAGCAGACTTCTTACACTCCTAATTGAGAGAACTATACAGTTCAAGATTATGACTAATATGCAAAACGTCACATATGGACTGGCAGTAAAACACATTTTAAAATGGACATGGAGTGTGTACAAAGGTAAATTCCTAGTAATTATATTATGAAAATCATGCACCCTACCCAAATATCCCAGGAGTAAATGAACCAGTGAATTAATTTGTATCTTATTAACCAATTCAAATTACTCTTGCCCATTCTCTAAATATATGGAAGTAAGTTCTTCTTGCATTGAATAATTCACTTTCACATTTATTGATTTGTTTTAATACCTAGGATGCAGAACAGGTATTATGGATGAATAAATAGAATTCTTAAAAATTCAGATCCTGCTGCTGACTAGATAGGTGACCTTGGGCAAGTTATTACGCCATTCTGAGGTTTATGCATAGGACAGGAAATACTTATCTGCAGGTTTGTTTTAAAAGTTAGATATTATTTAAACAAAGTGCCAGGAGAGTGTCTAGCAAATAGTAAGTCTCAAATGTATTCTATAATTATTTTTTTATTATAAATGAAGTTTCAAGGTCACATGCTAAGTGCAGAGCCACTCGTGTACTTGTTTCTTTACTCCTAATCTGGAGCTTTTTGTTTCATCCTTTGTAAGTAGAAGGATAGGTGAGATGATAGAGTGGTTGGTTGAAGGGACTGAGAGAGAAGAGACCTTTAAAAAGGAAGAGGTGATATCTTAACTGAGAATGTTAGGCCAATGTCTCTGATTCCTTTTGGCTAAAGGCTCAGAAAGGAGAAATGCCCCCAAGCTGGTATTTAATTTATATGTATATTTGAGCAGAAATGCTTCTAAACTGATATTTCATATTATATTTATGTTTATATATGATTTATATTTATATTAATGATAATTACACATTTGTTCAAATGTGATTACTACTTTTTTATGCTATATTGTAAACTGCAAAATTATATGTTTTTATAAACACATTAAACACAATAAACAATAATGTGTTTTTATAAGTTGATCCCATGTTTTGTTATCCAGTTTATCTCAAGTTGAAGAACATCTGAGGTCAGAAAGTAGTAGTGGATCCATAGAATAAGCATAGTACATCTTTCCCAGGGTGTTAATTTTACTTAAAATTAATGTAGTAACATGGCATAACTTTTACACTAAAATAAATAAAAGCATATTATGGTGTAAAACAAAATTCACATATTTTAAAATAAAATCTGAAGCTTTGACAAATTTTATGACTATAGAACCATCCTTGCGGTAATGTTCGCTCTGAGAGATATTTTGATGTAAAATCTTGAGAAATACTTGAGAGATTAATAATTTGGAGAAAAATATTCTCCAAATTATTGTTTTTTTATAATAAAATGTGCTTTTATTTATTTTTTTATTTTTTATTTTTTATTATTATTATACTTTAAGTTCTAGGGTACATGTGCATAACGTGCAGGTTTGTTACATATGTATACTTGTGCCACGTTGCTGTGCTGCACCCATCAACTCATCAGCACCCATCAACTCGTCATTTACATCAGGTATAACTCCCAATGCACTCCCTCCCTCCTCCCCCCTCCCCAGGATAGGCCCCGGTGTGTGATGTTCCCCTTCCCGAGTCCAAGTGATCTCATTGTTCAGTTCCCACCTATGAGTGAGAACATGCGGTGTTTGGTTTTCTGTTCTTGTGATAGTTTGCTGAGAATGATGGTTTCCAGCTGCATCTATGTCCCTACAAAGGACACAAACTCATCCTTTTTTATGGCTGCATAGTATTCCATGGTGTATATGTGTCACATTTTCTTAATCCAGTCTGTCACTGATGGACATTTGGGTTGATTCCAAGTCTTTGCTATTGTGAATAGTGCCGCAATAAACATACGTGTGCATGTGTCTTTATAGCAGCATGATTTAGAATCCTTTGGGTATATACCCAGTAATGGGATGACTGGGTCATATGGTACATCTAGTTCTAGGTCCTTGAGGAATCGCCATACTGTTTTCCATAATGGTTGAACTAGTTTACAATCCCACCAATAGTGTAAAAGTGTTCCTATTTCTCCACATCCTCTCCAGCACCTGTCGTTTCCTGACTTTTTAATGATCGCCATTCTAACTGGTGTGAGATGGTATCTCATTGTGGTTTTGATTTGCATTTCTCTGATGGCCAGTGATGATGAGCATTTTTTCATGTGTCTGTTGGCTGTATGAATGTCTTCTTTTGGGAAATGTCTGTTCATCTCCTTTGCCCACTTTTTGATGGGGTTGTTTGTTTTTTTCTTGTAAATTTGTTTGAGTTCTTTGTAGGTTCTGGATATTAGCCCTTTGTCAGATGAGTAGATTGCAAAAATTTTCTCCCATTCTGTAGGTTGCCTGTTCACTCTGATGGTAGTTTCTTTTGCTGTGCAGAAGCTCTTTAGTTTAATGAGATCCCATTTGTCAATTTTGGCTTTTGCTGCCGTTGCTTTTGGTGTTTTAGACATGAAGTCTTTGCCCATGCCTATGTCCTGAATGGTACTACCTAGGTTTTCCTCTAGGGTTTTTATGGTATTAGGTCTAACATTTAAGTCTCTAATCCATCTTGAATTAATTTTCGTATAAGGAGTAAGAAAAGGATCCAGTTTCAGCTTTCTACTTATGGCTAGCCAATTTTCCCAGCACCATTTATTAAATAGGGAATCCTTTCCCCATTTCTTGTTTCTCTCAGGTTTGTCAAAGATCAGATGGCTGTAGATGTGTGGTATTATTTCTGAGGACT